ATCCATCCATCCATCCATCCATCCATCCATCCATCCATCCATCCATCCATCCATCGATCGATCTATCGATCTATCTATCTATCTATCTATCTATCTATCTATCTATCTATCTATCTATCTAACTCAGCCTGTACTCCTTAACATTTGTCCGTCCGTCGACCCCATATACCCTCCACTTCAAGATACATTCACTCTCTAAAAGCATGCCTGTCTCCCAACAATACATCCACTCACGGAAATACTTGTTCCTCACAATTTAGTCGCTTAACCCTATCAGTACGTCGTGTTTTGCTATCGTATCCTTACGACGTGCGGAACTCTGAGCCACACCTTCTAAAGAAGGAATTCTTGTTAATCCGATCCGTACGCTTTGCACAGCAGTCTGTCGAAATGATTCTTTAAGATATACTGAAAGTTTCAAAGAGATATTCGCACTAGAAGTATTTTAAAATGTGAAGAATACAACCCCTGGGTACAAAATACCCCAGGGCGTACGGATAGGGTTAAGAATACACAACTCTTATCGTACAGCTAGATCTATACGAAACATGTTTGGCATGTACACTTTGGACATTGAAGAACTCTATGAGACAAAGATTTGCATTTATGAAGTCTGCTCTGATGTTGAATTGGTGTGATTATACTTTAGTGGGAGCTGATGTACCTGTTCTGAACCACTGTTGAAAACCACTCACAGTGACGAAGTATTTTTTTTAACAAAGATTTTTTTCTCCCTTTCTCGGTGTCTCTGTTCACGGTCTTCGCGGTGAGAGTCCATTGGAACTGTCACTAACAGTCATGTTTAAATCTCATCTTATTCAGTAAACAGGCAAAAAATTGTGGCTTTCTTCATTTTACCATTTCCAAACTTGGAAAGAAAACCGAAAATGCTGTTAACTGAATAAGATAAGACAGGACACGACAAGACAAGTCAAGACAAGACGAGATGGGATGAGATGAGATGAGATGAGATGAGATGGGATTTAAACATGTTAGTGACAGTTTTGGGGTTGTTGTTTTTTTCTCCTAGAGAGAAAGGGAAGAGGAATCGGTCACGGCCGAAGCTCTTAATATAAAAAAACTAATTCCATATATAGCTTGGAAAAGCATTGGGGGCATTTTACCAAAAATAAATACAGAAGCGCTGGATTCAATTTAACTGTGTAAACTAATGCAATAGCAACTTTTCTAGCCTTATAAAATAAGTCTGTAGGCTCTGAGAAGGGGAAAGAAACGAGACTGGTATGGTTTCATTGACTAAAATGAATAATTTAAGTCATTATCAAGCATGAACACAAAACAAAAACAATACATAACAATACAATACAATACAATACAATACAACACAACCCAACCCAACACAACACAACACAACACAACACAACGCAGCACAGCACAGCGCAGCACAGCACAACACAGCACAGCACAACACAACAATTAACAACACAAGATAATAGAATGGAATAGAACAGAATAGAATAGAATAGTTATCATTATTATTATTATTA